CTTACCAAGTGAAGATAGGGTTACTGAATCGTCTTTTTCTATATGCAATCACTGGTGCATAACAAAATAATAATCTCAAGTTGCACTGTCTTAGTATCTTATTTAGGTCAATAAACACTTGAAATAACCGGAAATTTATGAATTGGCAGCCAAAGAAAGGCAAAGGTGACATAAGAATTTTATCGCTTTTGTCTTCCAGAGAAGTATGCAAGTACAGTCTTGATATTTACTTTCTTCAGCTATTGCTGCAATAAGTACTTCGTGGGTAGGGTGACTCGGTATTGTATGCAAAATCAAACTTAAAGCTAGTTTAAATAAACATGTACAAATAGGCATAAATATTGCAGGCTAGATCTTTACGGCATTTTCAGAGATACATATGTGGGCACAAAATCTGATAAATGGAAAAATTTCTTTTGAAGTTCGGCATATGAATAATATTACACGGAATCTCAGTTTTTTTCAAAGGCAGACTTCTGCCGGCTTTCTTCCTCATCGTTTGAGCTTTTTTGCTCAAACCGTCTCGTGAATTTGAACCGTCTCTCTCTGCGATGCTTAAGTTTTCTGAGTCTGTTCAGTCACTTCTGCATGTTGAGACCTATTGTGACCATCAAACGACTTAGGTCCCACCTTTACATTGCTCACGGTACGTTCACAAATACCAAGAGTTGCACAATCCAGTGAACGAAGGAACGGATGGCCAGAATGCGGATGTAGAATGTCGAGAAAAACTTAACGCAAAGGGAATTGACTGCACAATAAAGTGCTCTCAGATAACTCTGTGTACAGATATCGTTAAACTGTTGACATTTAGTGAGGTAATCTAAGTCCATGAAGGATCGAACGAGTAATCTTTTCAATTTGCCATAAAATTTTATTCATGGTAACTCAAGCGGTTATAGCAAAATTGATGCTAAGGTAATTTAGGTTTAGAGAGCTTCATTACTGTTATAAATATAGCTTTATCGGTCTTTTTAAGTGCTTGTTTTTATTGTGGCGCGTATTTCAGAAACATTTATTTAGAAAAAAGATGAGGCAGCCATCTTAATCATAACAGCTTCTCAAGCGGGTACTTTATACCCAACATGAGTTTAATTAATTTGCGAGCCAATTATTCAAAATTCTATTGGGCGTATAATTTAGTCCTCTATCATCAACAATTTGGAAGAGCGCTTCTGAAAAAAGAATGCATCTTGTTTGATATTGCGCTGTTGGCCGATCATTTTACTTTCATGTATTTACTAAAAGTGTAAAGTGCAAAGTATTATGTGAAGTCAGAGAGACTCAAGTAGCTCTGTCTATCACGTAAGACTAGCAATGTTTTGTTCTGACAGGAAATCGCCAGCGTTCACGCCTTTTTTCTGGTATTGAATTTGCAGTATTTCGACTGAAACGTCGTTCCACAATGTTCACTAATACTGGGAAAGTCAAAACGCATCATTTAGACCCACAAAAGCAAGCCTTAAAACCACAAATAGGGGTACTACGAGATAGTCTGCTGTTGGAGCCAAAGTGAGTCGAGCACTCTGCTCAGGAGGTTAGAATGTGTTTACTCATTTAGTTAGTGTTGCTTCCTACCTCCGTGGAAGAGCGAGTTAGAACAGATCGACTTAGGAAAACAAATAATTCCATACCAACAGTCGATATAGGGAGTTATTTAACACAATCACAAATATGTAAACCTCATTACTATCTCACGCGGCTCCAAATACATTGGTAATGCACTACAGTATCAGGAGGGGACATCTATGATTTACTTCCGTCGCCCCACCTCCGAGTAGATCAGCCAGCTGTCATCAAGCTACTCAGACTGCGGGAAAATCACCGGGACGTTAACTTTTTAGCCATCTGGTTTTACCATTCGAAGGTTGATGGAACGTAGGGACAGGCAAATCCGTGAAAACAAGGATAGCTCCTTTTCTCCAATTGTATGCATCTAACGCATATACATAGTCGAACTTATTTGGGAGACCACTCTGCCTACAGTAATTAAAACGCTCAACCTTATTCACTTGAAATTTATGTTTACGTCTGTTCTTTATATATTTTGGCAAATGTGTCCTCAATAAAAGTTTAGCTCCATTTAATTTTCTGAACACCAAATCCTGTGGGTGAGTAAAGGTCTAGATTAGTATGTCTGTCAAGGAAGGGTGTTTTTACTCACTTTTTATGGACAACTTCATCGTATATATGATCATGAAATACTTGCTTCCAGCCTTTATTGTTTGTGGGGTAGAGATGCTCCCACCGAGTTTACTTACAGCTGTTGAGTACAGAGATGACATCTCTCTTTGAACCCGAACAATCTTAGTGCTTACAACACTACATATTCAAAAGAGCTCAATATGCGTTTGAGTCTTGCGAAGTGCAGAATGCCTCTACGAGAATTGGTGGGTTAGAACCCGACTCACAACTTGTGAATGTGCCGGCTGGCGTAGTTTTAGTCCCGACGGTCTCTCTCTAGTGTGAGAATGTCGGAGCAATTTTTAGGTCTCCATCTTTTGTACGAGCGGAGGATCAGGCTCTTTCAAAATGGTCCAATTTACAGTGTTGCGATACGTAACATATTGTTGCGTGTGTCAAGGACCTGACTGCCATGAGCTGAGGATGGTATCGGGTCTTCATTGTTTGACTATCGGTGTCTTCAGAGCATCACACTATTCTAGCAGGAATATGAGATCTGTTAATCTAAACTAAGCCAAGTGGCTTCCGTCCACTGACTGAACGTTCAACTACCCATATACTGCACTGGATTTGTCACTTGTCTCGTATATCGGCCACCTGGTTTCCACGAATAACCCTCTCTAGGCTGCCACACGGAAATCGGAAGCAATGTATGGTATTTCAGGCATTGACACGACAGCTCTGTATGAGGGCCTGTACCAGCACATTCACTTTCGTCTGATCACTTCCGTTTTTCTGGATCAAACTCAATACCGGACTGATTGATGACTGAAAACATCAGCAGGGATGACTCGGTAGCGTGTTTACCAATGCGCACACATTCAAGCTGCTGTCGTTACTGCAATCTTCATAGTCCCTAGTCACCATGTCTTCAAGAAAGAAGGGTCCTTCATGGACGTTGAGGTTGACATGCTTTGCTACACTTCAGGCCACGGATCATGTGGGTGAACCTCCAACCAGAAAACACTACTTAGCAGCCCAACTAGATAGAACTCTGTTTTTCGCCATCCTAGAGAGAGTTGCGTGAAGGCGTACAACATAATTTTGCTCTTTGTACTATTGTAGCAGGTTTTCAAGTAATCACTGACAGTATGAATACTTTGGATATATTTCCATACCCATGGATGGATCGACAATGAAGCCATTCCGTTTTCTGTCACAAACTGTAAACAGTTGAAGTTATCTTTCAAAACGAACATATCTAGTGAATCGATAGGATTATGCAACATGCTACGTTATTAAAACAAGGTAATCTAAGATCCAGAATTCAAGGTGGGAAACCTCAAAATCAGCCCAAACTGAGCAACAGGTGATAAGTTATATATATATATATATACAGCACACCAGAGAGTTGTCAGTTAAATTTACGGCCCGTCAGATGTGTTGTTGGTGCAAACTCCTTTGGTTTAGAAGAATCACAAAAAGTTTTCTTCATTCATTCCATATAATTTTGACAAAATTTGCTTCACAACTGATGGGCTCGTGAAATCATCGACTTAATGACAATTTCAAGTGTATATAAGGTTTGCTGGGATGGAAGCAAAGCGCATCATCCCTTCTTATCCTGAAGAACTCAGTTTATTTGCAAAGGATTGCTGGACTGGAGTCACTATAGAAAACGGCCATTTAACAATGGAACAATTGAGCCCTTAAGTATACACGTTTATTGATCGAGAACAAAATCTGCAGTACGCATTTTTAACAAGCCACCATTTTCATCCCCAAACGCATAGAAGACTTATTTGGTTTGAAAGATGAGAAAAATTTCAAAATGGATGTGATGTCGGCGATACTAAACCTGATAGGTATATAGCCGAGCAACCAATCGAGGCCAACAGTTGCTATAAATATTTTTCAAATGGATATTTGAAATCACTGCTAGGATAACCAAATCACTCGGACTGCATCACTTCTTCAAAATGCTTACATTTGGCCTCACATGATGCAACAGGAGGAGATTCCAATAAGAGCTCAGCTCATTTAAACAGTAATTACTTTCTAACCTTATTGCTGTCCATTTGCCGTACATCCAGGCAAGACATTCACCTGGACTTCACAAACATCAGAAGAGTTATGTGAACCGTCAATCATTTTTATTCCATGCAGAATGGTCAAGTCTGATGAAAACAGTGAGATTTATTCCAAGCGCTGACTATATTAGGCATTCTGGCTCTTCCAAAATTTGCTCGAGCCACCTCTTTTAATTCCAACGTTTTCAATAAGTGCAAATTTGCTCGAAGCATGCCAAATGGTGGATTAGTAACACTCGTCCTAACGAGGAACCATTTACTGCATCTCTTAGTCATGTTCATGCGTAGACATAGATAGTTCTAAGCCAATCAACATATGAATGGTTTCACAATCATGAAAAGGTTAAAGATTGGTTGGAGGATTCGACTGCCTGGGTTGTACCATTCATCAGTATCAAGAAAGCCTATGTGCTTCCCTGATGACTGACTGAACGGTATAAACTGCTGGGTCAGGACACGAAGAATATCGAAATTCTTTCAAACAAACAAATCAAACTGTAGGATTCTGGAAGTCAAAGCAACTGCGGTGAACAGTATTCTAGTCCTGGATGTCACTTGGGGCTTTAAAGTATTTTCCTATGCGAATGTAAATACCGTTGCATGACCTAATTGATGTCCAGCGTCTACTTGATGTGTTGGCGAAGAGCGATTCTTTTGGAGCACCAGGAGAGCGAGCGCCTATGCCGATATATCGAGCCCATAGAGAGCAAACGATCTGGTGGGCCCACCCTAGGATGGCACGACAAGTAAGTTGACCCTTCATTTTTTTCTGGACAGCTAACAAACCTCGGATGGAGGAGGTCGTAGTTTAATGTGTTTACCTCCCAGAAAGCCTCCAGGCAAGCTGGTTTTCTTGTCACTTGGCGCGTCTGAAGCGAAATCAAGTTTAAAATAACCCCTAAACAGGGAATCAACGTTTTCTGGCCGACTATCCTGTGTGCATTTCTTGTTGTGCCCAGAAGGCAACACATAAACCCTGGGTTTACGGTACAACCTGACCCAAATCAGATTTCTGCAAGAACTCCTTCGGATACGTCTACCTGACTACCTTTGAAATCATACAAGCAGAAGTTTTGCTTATCCTGGTGCTTCGTTTCGCATGTAAAAGTTATCCAAAGTTGTACACCATTAGCTACAGTCGGAATAGTGTTTTGATCTCGGTTTCATATGCCTGCAAAAGGGGCACAAGGGTGCATCTCCTTCGCTTGTAGCGCTTCTTAGGCTTCCGATGAAAGCCACCGTTTGACTTGAGCCAGGAGAACATCTCACGGATGCCTTGTCAGTTTGGTAGCGGTGAACCTTGAGCAAGACGCATAGCCGATGGCTATCTGGGGATTAATTTGTCCAAACCAGCCTCCTGTGATGAGTTGCCCTTGTGAACAATTGCTGAATGCGTCTACTGGCTAGATTCCCTGTTTATCAGCTTTGCCTTTTTCGTCAGATAGGGAACGGAATCTGGTGGCATATGGTAAAGTGTTGTCCATCCCAAAATTATAGTCTCGGTGGTTCGACGAAACGCAACCATCAGCTTTATAACATTTCCAAGCAATGCAGTCTTTATGCTCCCGTAGTTATCGTAAACCAAATTGATAAATTATGGTGAGTAAAGTAGAGTTGATCTTGTCGATTCTTACGGATAGCAGAAACCGTTGATACATTATTTTACTGTCTGGTAATTTGTTGGAATATTGGTAGCTCGGGTGTATTGGTTGGTAATTGATCGGGTGGCTGTTGATCTGTTCGCCGAGCTTGACAATTGATTTGCAAACGGTTCGTCACCATTCGAGGAGACATCTTAAGTGCGCTGTTGGTTGGGTAGTTCCTCTCTTCGTGCCTGCGTTTATATAGTCTACAAAGAGCAACCTTTGCGCTGTAACCTGGATTCTGATTGGCCCGTTCTTGATCTGTATTGCGTCGTGGTCGGCTTC